GGGGGGGGGGGGGGGGAGACCAGAGCTAAATCCAATTACTAGACAAAAAACGAAGACATGAATAATATCCATGCTCCAAAGAGAAATTCAAGGGCCATGGTATACTATGGTAGATTATAAAAATCGTACACATTTCTTAGAAATACCTAGGTAATAAATGTCAATGGTCAGAATTTTTTCAGTGGAGATTACTGATGTTGTAAGACACTTTTCAACAACAGACTTCAATCAAGAGAGACCTATTGAGAATTACTGCATTGCCTAGTAACCCAATGTAATGCTAAGGATAGCTCTTGATTGAGAGGATATTTATCCACAACCAACACAACAGGTGGAGACTACAGTGGATTTTTTTACATCTGCTTATCTACAGGCAGAAACGTTTCTTCTGCCAGGAAAATCCAGGAAGATTTATCCCCCTGCTTCATCAAACTGGATGCAAAGCAAAAGTCTTAGATGTAAAAATTGGAAACCAAGGATCAACAGGATTTGTTTCCAAGCAGGCAACTTAGTATGGGCTGTTTATTTATTTACTTATTCAATTTGTATAGCCACCTATCTCAAACCAGTAACTCTGGGTGGCGAACAATCATCAAAACAAACAAACTTAGTATGGACTGTTGCACTTTCCAGTTGCTTTTGTTTTTACTTTTAGGGCCAAATCAGACATCATACTAAATGCGTCACTTTGTCAATTTTTTATTTTTTTAAAAAAACTTTTAAATAAATAGCAGCTGCAGATAGGGAAGGATTTTTCACTGGGATCTCAGCGTGCAGGGAAGGAAGGTGAACCCTTTCCTCCAAAACATGAACTGGGTGTCACAGCCCAGAAGAAAAGTGAACAAAGAAAATAGAGCAGATCCAGACTGCCCAAGGAAAACATCCTGACATCTTGTGCTTTGCTTGCAAGTTATCTCTGTGTAATTAAAAACTTGTGGTTTCTATGACCTTGAAAACATTTCATCACCAACAGGAGTCATCTATATATCACCGAAAAAAGCAAGTCTTTTCTTCTTTCTGGACTGCAGAGATGCTGCACAACAGAGTCTCTGCATTTTTCCTAGCTTAAGCTTCAGTTCTTCCCAATCTATCATAACACTAGCCCATGACGTAGAGTTATAAACCTCTGGGACAATTTTTTGGGGTGATCAGCTTCTACTTCATGTTGTTGGCTCTCCTGTGCTGAGACATCAAATTCATGCTTTATATTTAGATGAGTGCTTCATTTTGCACTACTGACCCCTTTCTTCCCCCACCCCCATAGTTCTATCAAAATCTGCCTTCTTATTTCATTGATATACTGGATGGAAACTGATCACAGAGAGAAGCAACCTAGAACTAAGGAGAAATTTCTTGACAGTTAGAACAATTAATCAGTGGAACAGCCTGCCTCCAGAAGTTATGAATGCTCCAACACTGGAAGTTTTTAAGAAGAGACTGGGCAGCCATTTGTCTGAAATGGTATAAGGTTTTCTGCCTGAGTAGGGGGTTGGACTAGAAGACCTCCAAGGTCCCTTCCAACTCTATTACTATTACTATTATTATTGTTGTTGTTCTTGTTGTTCTTGTTACCCATAAGAGTCCATCTTCTTATTCTTCCCCACAATGCCACCTGTCAGGAGATTGGGGGGGGGGGGGCTGAGAATGATTGAGCCAGAGTCATCTACTGAACCTGAAAAATGATTAGAATTAAGCTTCTAGTTGATCACTTGGATAACCATCCCACACTGACTATCTGCCTCAGATTTGGACCAAAAAAGATTTCCAACACAATTAAAACAGCTTCAGTTAATGCTCATTTTCTCCAAGCACCAAGTATTCAAAACAAAATGAAACACCCTATTTTTTCCACACTTCTGCTTCCTCCTCTTCCAACAAGACTTGTTTGGTAATTAGAGTTACAGGTAGCCCTCGACTTACAACCATTCATTTAGCGACCATTCCAAGTTACAATGGCATTGGAAAAAGTGACTTATGATTATTTCCCACACTTACAATCGTAGTCATGTGATCAAAATTTAGATGCTTGGTGACTGGCATTTATTTATGATGGCTGCAATGTCTCTGTGTCATGTGATCATCTTTTATGACCTTCTGACAAGCCAAGTCAGTGGGGAAGCTAGATTCACTTAACCATCTGTTTACTAACTTAACAACTGCAGTGATCCATTTAACAATTGTGGCAAGAAAAGTCATAAGATGGGGCAAAACTCATCAACAACTATCTTGATTAGTAACAGAAATTTTGGGTTCAGTTGTGGTCATAAGTTGAGGCACAGCTGTAATGGTTGCAGCTGATGGTAGTTCAAATCTAGCATAATTCTAAAGGGCCCTAGATTTCATATCTTTGTTCCTAAGACCACAAAATAATTAGAACTGGAATATGATTAACATTTGAATTTTACACTTATATATTTGTCAAAAGCCCTGTCAGAAACCCCTCTCTATGTAGACTGTTACCATAATAATAACAACACAGTCCAAAATTCTCTACCATGTATATTAATTAGCATTTTCACAAGCATCAACACTATCCAAATTTAACCTTAGTAAATTTTCTTGATATTGTATCATCAGTATGTTTTAAAAACAAACAGTAAAAACTTCAAAGTATTCCCTCACAAACTCTTGTAAAATGAATATGTATTTAATTTTTCATAAATATGCACAATACAACGGCAGTTAGTTGAGATTGTTATCAACGGGATGTTTCAGCATTTCTAAGAAAGCAACTATTTTCTACAGTGATCCTATGCCATTAAAACTAAGACTTCTCAAAGAAAGTGTCAGTCCTAACAAAAATGTGTTAAAAATATCCCTAAAAATATTTCTGCCTGTTCTGTGGTTGCTAATATGGAATAAAAACTTCTAAATGTCTAAGAGATATAGAGATCTCAGTGCCTTCAGTTCAGGTGTTAAAATTCATAGCAGTAGAATCGTGCTAAATAAATCAGACCTTGTGACCAAATGTATTTTCAAAACAGTCAATGCTCAAATAAGCCTGTGTATAATTCAGTCATAAATTGAGACAAAAGGAAGGTTCTGCCTATGGTAACATTTGCCATTAAAAAAGCTTGGGTAAACCAGATATGGCCCTATTGCCTTCTCATTCAATTAAAAACATTTACCTGTCCAAGTTTTCCATCCTTAGATTTATTTATTAACTCAAATATTGGTGGTGGTAGTGGTGGGTGTATGTTTAGTTTCTATCTCTTTTCATTCAGTTTCGCTCCCCCGCCCTTCTCTCTCTTTCTCTCCTCTTGTTCTGTACCTTCATCATTAACTGAAAAGTTGTACTGCTGGTCTAACACCTCATAAAACAGGCAAAATGGCTGAAATCCAGGTGAAATCTGATTTTTAACGCATTAACATAAAAAATACTTTTCCTTTATTTCCCTGTGGGGTTTTTTTCCCCACTTCTTCACTCTCCCCCCACCAAAGTAATGGTTATAAAGAAATCTAATGCGCCTATTTTGTGTTTTGGATTTAATGCATCATCACTGGATGCAAGCTGAAGTGTTGCTATTAATTTCCAAATTCTTCACTCTCAAATGCCCTATTACTATTAATTAGGAATAATATAGGATTTGCAGTCCAAGATATTTCGTGCTACATCAGGATGGCAGAGGCTAATGCAAAATATCCATGTAACTTCTGCTTCTTTTTGCTGTCTTGGCTTGGTTTTCATATGTTTCAGAGCTTCTATTATTGTTTTATATAGATGATAGCTATTTTAAAAGATATTCCTGTAAAAAAAGTAAATTCTATGGAATTGCAGTAGCAGATGGAGGGACAGATAGACAGATAAAGATAGGAGTCTTCATTGATCACTGCCCCTCACCACCACAAATTGGAGAGATGTACAGTAAGGTCATCTCACTACACAGTAGATTTAAAGTATAACTAAAGAGTAATGCGATTTACTATTACAAATTTCATACTTGGCCTCAAAGCCTGAAATGTCTTGAATAGTAATTTAATAAGGAAACTTCCTTTAAAAAGCCCCTTTTTTCTTCATTAATGCTCTATTATGAGCTGAATCCATTTTACTTTGCGTTTAATAATATATGCTGCCACTTGACTAGAATATTCATTCAACAATACTGTACAGCCTGCACATTTAATTGAGTGCAAGTTGATCTACAGAAACCTCCCTTAACTTGGTGGCCTACAAATATCCTCAACTTTCCAGTCACTATGGCCCAAATGCTATGAATTATGAAAACTGAAGTCCAACACCTCTGGAGGCCACTGGCTTAGGAAAGGCTGATCTACAGGACTTTGGCAAATTTGGATTCTGAATGTGAACCTTCTTGTGAGACCTTCTGCGGAAGTAAGCTATTAAAAGATGTCTGAGTGGTGAAATGTACCCCAAGGAACCATACCTATTCTAAGTCTATTTGCTTTACTTTCTGCTCTCCAAGTGCTCAGTGTCGTCTTACCTCTCAATTCTATTATTGGGCTTTGGTCACAAAAGGACTAAATTGGCATGCTATGTGGGCTAAAGAATGGTTAAGTGTTACATGTAGCCAAATCCTCCTGGGCTGCTTTTCTAACTTTGGACCTCAGCAGCACACCGTCCAAAAAACATCTGAGCCCTGCCCAAATGAAAGGTGTTCCTGGCTGCAGAGGATGTTTTAGACTTATTCATGCAGCGTATTTGAAGGATTTTCCAAACTGGAGGGAAATAATTTACTCTGGCTGGGGGAAGAAAGTCTGCTCTTGTAGTGTCTTCCATACTGCTGCTTTCCAGATTATGAATCTTTCAAGGGCAATAACTATTAGACTGCCATGGACAGCTTCGGACATTGGATTTAAAAAAAAAACCCTGGGCAATATTAGACAAGCTGTTTCAATAAAACCGACTCAAAATTGGTTTTGGCTGCTTCACTGGGCACTTTTTCTCTAAGTTCATATAATGAAATAAGCCTGTGATGGAAAAAAAAAGAACAAGGTTAAGTTAGAGGGAGGAGGAGGAGGAGGAGGAGAAGGAGGGGTTTCTTCCAAAGGCATTTTGACTTAAAATGTTGCATAGCAAAACACTTCATCCTTATTTATTTATTTATTTATTAATTTATTATTTAAATTTATATACCGCCCTATCTCCCTTACGGGACTCAGGGCAGTGAACAGGCAATAATAAAAATCACAATAAATATTGAATAAAAAGCCTGCTCTAAAATACCCCATATAAAATCCCTAGCAAAGCCCAATCAAAACTACGCCAGGCTGGCCGCATGGAATAGATGGGTTTTCAAGGCTCGGCGGAAGAGGCGCAGGTCCGTAGTTGTACGTAGGTCGGGGGGTAGGTCATTCCAGAGGGAAGGAGCTGCCACAGAGAAGACTCTCCCTCTGGGGGTCGCCAGCCAGCATTGACTGGCCGACGGCACCCTAAGGAGGCCCTCTCTGTGGGAGCGGACTGGTCGAAGGGAGATATTTGGTAGGAGGCCAATGACCTTGGCCTCCTACCTTGGATGACCTTGGACCAAGGCGCAATAAATTTCCTCCCCCTTGGTTAGTTCCTTGCACATGCAGGACTCTGGCACTTGTAGATGGCCTCACCTCTTTTCTTTCATTGGCTGTTTATTATAGGAACACAGGAAGTTACATCACTCTGAGTCAAATCATTCATTCATGTAGCTCAGCACAGGGGTCAACAGCATGGCATAGGGCCCGGTGATGTGAGGGGCTGCCTTTTTCCTGTGGTGCCTGGCTGGCCAATTTGAGCTGATAAGGCTGGGATGCTCTGGCTTCTTTGGATTAAATAATGTCATCTACCGGTATCTAGGAAATGCACCTTCTCTGTTGCAGCACCTGCCATCAAGAATGAAGTTCCCTGAGATCTGTGTGGCTCCCAACCTGAAGAACCACAAAAGTTGTTCTCCTTGTTGTTCTCCCAGACCTTGGGCTAGTTGTTGTTCTCCCAGACCTTGGGCTAGGAGAGTGGTGCACTATTTGCTGGGTTGGTGGGATGTATGGGAGTCTGCTGAGTTTAACAGTTTATTCTTTTTTTCTTTTTCTTTTGTTCCAGTTGATATTGTCATTTCTTGTTTCCATTATATTGTTTTTAGAGTCAGGCTGCATCAAACTGAATAAACAAAGGTTTTCAGGTGCTGACTTTCATTTTGAGATTTTGTACAAAAAGGTAACCTAAGCACTAAGTAGTCAATTATACAAATGCCAATGTTTCATGAGATGTTTGTATTTACGCCTAAGATGGAAATGCAGCATTTCACAAAATTTGTCATTCATGTGACATTTGTTTTTTTTAAAGTAATTGTGAAACTAACAAGAATTCTGCCTTGTTTTCCCTTCTAGCCCAAATGACTAGAAGAACTGTTGTCTTCCTTCCTCCAATCCTCAGAAGACATGCCCACAGAAGGAAAAAGCCATTGGTGCTTCCTCTCCTTGCTTAGGTGGGGGTAGAGAAGAAGTGATGGAATCCACTAATTGGGGCCATGATAACTGTGATTTAGGAGAACATCTGAGCATCACTGTGGCCAGAATGAAAGAAATCCATTCTTAAGCTGGCTTCCCTTCCATCTGATTCACTCGTGGAAGATAAGGAACTGAAAACTGCAATGCAAAAAGTCTCCAGAACATCATCAACTTACTAAAGGGTCCCTTTAAAAAAAAACTATATCCAACTTGTTTTGTAACTTCTAGGTCCAATTCAAAGTGCTGGCATGAATTAAATATTTCTTCTTGGCTTTACAAATCTTTTTCAACTGGATGGATGGAGAGCATGTAGCCATACAGAAGTTCTTGAACAAGAATGATCATAATGGCTGAGACTACAGGGAGATATATTTAGCAACATATATCCTTTATTCCTGATGTATGGACACTTCTTTACGATTCCTGGAAAAGTAATAACCAACACTCCCTTTTTTGAGAGAGTGGGAATAGGGACTGAAGTAGCCTAAAATCTTTGGCTCCCTGTTAATATGCATTAAAGTTTATCCTTTGCTGACACTTGGAAGATTGTTACAAATACAAATTGAATAAATAAATGCAATATAATTATATTGAATGAATGAAGCCTTCTAGAGCAAGCTGGATCATCTTTCTTCTAATAATTCTTCTAATTATCTTATTAATGGATAATATAGTATAGCAGCTGATACTTCTGGGCTAGGCATGGAGTAAACAAACTGTTAGCAAGTCGGGACTGAGGAGCCCAATAATTCACAGGCAGCAGAAAAACAGAGTCAATGCCATACGAGGGTCCATACAAAGAGGTCAAATAAAGTTGAGGCATCAAACAGAGTCTATTATCCAAAAGACAAGAACCAAAGTCAGGGTGGAGGTCAACTGTCAGGGGTTGAATGAATTAAATAAGTCAGAAACAAGGTCTAGAAACATTATTGCCAGCCTTGTCTTTACAAACTAAAAGCTTGTAAAGCCAGAACTCATAAAACTCCATCCAGACTCCCATTATTGGCCATTAGGCTATTCAAAAGGAATAAGTTAAACTCTATAACCGAGGAAGCTTCATTGACAAGTAGACTTGCATCCCTGAGTTTGAATTCTCAATCTCCTCTGTTCACTAGAATCTGGTCTTTTCTGCCAATTTAGGTGAGGACATTTGGTTGCGGTCACTATGACATGATATATGCCATGGTACCTTCATATAAATGATGTGAATTACATAATTGGCATCAACTGCATTATGACATGAATGCCATCCACTCTGGCACATGATGTCACTGTTCATCAGATGTCTGTGACAAAAGGTCCTCTATCTTATGAAATTCCAAGCTGAGACTCATGCCTCCCTAGTCCTGGTTTTTGGTTCAGAGAATAAACATGGTATGGCTAGAAGTGCAAATTCACTTTCAGAGGAATCCTGAGAAGACATGCCTTCAAATAAAATATAGAATTTCCTTTCTTGTTTGTTTTGATTTGATCCTTAAACTATTTTTATTGTTTCAGGTATGTGATTTATGTTTTATATTATATTTTTGACTGTAGAGAACCCATGGGACTTTTTAAAATTAATAAGCAGTATACAAATAATACAAATTTATTGTTAAATAAAATAGATAAATTAATAAAATGTAATGTCTTAATATCTAGTTTCCCTCTTTTGATGCTGTCAAATTGGGATATTTTTATTCTAAAATATTCTTGTAATAGCTCACCTCAAACTATTAGAAGATGAGATGAGGTACACAGAATCTTGCAAATAGACTCAAAGTTACTGAAACCTGGAATTAGAGCTGAGTGAAATGGAGTGGATTTGAAAACAGGTAAACAATAAGGAAGGGTGGAAATAATTCGGAAAAATGGCTTTAGAGCCTGTGGGAATCCAAATGGAGCACTTCTTTGCAACTCTTTAAAGCTGCTGTATCTTTTACACAATCACTAAGTTGTCCTCTGCACCCATCACATAGCCCCAGGAAAAGATATGGATGGCTTAAAAACTGGCAAGTAAATGATATATTTGCACCCCCCATTTTGGAGTGGAATCTGAAGTGCTGAACAGTCATAGCATCCAATGGAAACAGAATAAAAGTCTACCTTATTTAACTGCTGCTTTATTGTAGAATTGTCTCTCTGTATAACACTTCTCATTTCTTGGCTTCCCAGGTACATGATGTTTGCTGCAGAAATAAGACGCACAGGCATGCACATCAGAAAACAAAACTTATACAGGAAGTTTGGCTACAGTCTTCAAATTTTGACAACTTTTAATGATTATCCTCCTTGTTTCACAAAAGTGTCTCCCAGTTGGTAGTTAATCCATTGCTTATTCTCTCTCTCTCTCTCTCTCTCTCTCTCTTTTTGATAAACGAAATAAGAACACAGTACAGTAAAATTTAAAACTATAAACAGAAGGTGTGAGACATAAAAGGACCCAATAATTAAGCATAGGCTGACTAGTTTCTACTTTACTATTAAGTTTTTCTTTAAAACATTTTAATGTTTTAAAGATTTTAATATTCTTTTTTTTTAAAAAAAAAATGAACTATTTTGCTAGACAATAGACATGTAATTCTTAATTAAAACATTTATGCAAAGAGTTAATTACACAAAATTACATGACTTGAGCATTTTTCATGATTGGTTTCCATGAAAATTAGCAAGGACCAACTTGAAGAGTTCTAATGGACATTTCCCCTGAACAGCCTTTTCCTTAAAAGAAATAATGAGTGAAAGATTGTAAAGCAAAGGGAGTGATTTTTCTCAAGAGGCAAAGAAAAAGGAAATAACAATTGGACTGCTCCTTACCGGTGACCTCAAAACATTAAATGGGGCAAATTCCTATAGTACTTTAAGGAAGTGGAAGCAAATGACATTAAGGTAGAAGAGAGGGCAGAGTTGAATTTCAAAATACCTAATAATTTCCCATATGACTTGATATCAATGTACTTGTCAGCTCAATTTAAAATTCTAGATTCAAGGTTTAAAGCCAAATTATTTGACATTTCACCATACAACCAAGTTTTTGGAATGATCCAATCCATCCCTATCATCTGGCTTGCACAGATTAGATTCCAATGGCTCTTGCTCCATAGTAAATTTGTATGGGATTAGTACATATATAGTGAACAGGAATATTCAGGAGTGAGACACAATTGTCTAGAGTTATTGATTCTTCCCAGAGCTGTGAGAGTTCAAAAACTTCAGAGAGCAAAGTTGATGATTTTGTGCACTGTACTTTTATTCTACCACAGGAATATGTTCCAAAGGAAGGTTGGTAGAAATGCAAAGACATTTTGGATCCAGGGGCCTAATGTTAATGGAAAGTTTCTAGCCCTCAAACTTTCTACCAAAGGAATCAGGCCTCCATAGTGATTGTGTTATGCCATCAGCACAGCTCTTCATCGATGGAGCAGTTCTTCCATTCTATTTATGTATGTATCATATTCTGTATTTATTTATGTATGTCATATTTATGTAGTGTATATTGGAGGTGGTGACCCTTTGAATGCTGTATGCAACAAAATTTCATTTTAATGTATGCCGATTAGTATACATTCAAAGTGACAATAAAGTTATTATATTATTCTATTCTATTCTATTCTATTCTATTCTATTCTATTCTATTCTATTCTATTCTTAACCTGCTTTCTATTAATAAATCCAGCCTGTGGTAGGTAGCTAACAATACAAAATAAAACATTCTCTTAAAATTACAAAGCACAGTATAAAACCTGTAATTGTGGACAATATTAAAATTACAGCAAAAGAAGTTTTAAAAGCTAAAAAGCTGTACATTAAAAGCTAAAAACTGTACATAAAAACAAAGGACCCCAAAGAATAAAGGTAGAAGTCCCACAGTTTAAGACTATTTCCTTAGTGTAATAAACCATACCAGTTCATTCTAAATCTGAAAACTGGACAACCTTAAAGTTATAGCCCGCACTGTTTTACAAAAGAATTCAAAGCAACCTAGAACACAAATCTTTCATTTAGAGCAGTGTTTCTCAACCTTGGCAACTTTTAAGTTGTGTAGTCCAGCTGGGGAATTCTGGGAGTTGAAGTCCACACCTCTTAAAGCTGTAAGATTGAGAACACTGCTTTACAGGAATAACCAAAATCCCTCCAGTGCCAGGAACACTAGCAGCTTCAACCGATCCAGCCAACACCCACCACCAACTTAGCAAATGCAGGAGAAAGTCCCAAGACAATCTTATAGCTATCTGAAAAACATAATGACAGTTATTAACCAGGCATAAAAGAACAATGAACCAGACAACGTATCCTGCCATTTTAAAAAGAGAGTGCTTATGAAGATGCTATTGTTCTGGACAGTAAAGGAGACAAGAGAGAAAGACTAAAAATCAGAAGGTATTTCTTTATTCCTAGGTCAGCTCTATTGCACTTAGGTATAGAGAAAATTGCACTCTATAATCCTATGAATGACCCCTCTTTTTGATGTGGAGGGTGAGATGGTACCTCCCTCCCCTTTCTCCTTTTCCTCCATCAGGGATGATTAAGCATTGGTGTCCTTTTAGTCATGTCCCTTTGCTAAACAGAGACTGCTAACTGTGCCCAAAATACACTTGATTTATTTATGATGGTGCAACCCCAAAGGAACTCAAAATCAAGGACCAAGAAAAGAAAAGAGGGCTTTATATCACTGGTAGCTCTTTAACCTAACATGTCACAACCAGTGCTTAATATTTTCACCAGCTAAATTAATAGTACCCCCTTTACAGAGCTTAATGATCAAAATCAATCAAGTTTCTTTCAGTCTTTAGAACTATTTGACATTGATTCAATCAACCACCAATTGCCAGACAGCAATACCTGCGCATTCGTCACTGAAGTTCAAAACCATTGTTATAGTCATATTATGGTGAGGAAACAAAACAATGCAGGACTAAACAAAAGATGAATTGTGCTTTGAAACAATAGTCTGCAACAGTCTTAGTGCCATTGGGTTTTGCTTAATTAGCTCCCTCCATCTCAAGCAACATTTGGAGAATATCAAGTAGCAGTAAAATGCTTAGCATTTTATTTTCTTTAATGTGCCTCTACAATAAGGTATGGAACCTCTGACTATTAAGATGACACTAAAGTACAGATCACTCCATTCCTCACTATTGGAAATCCTGGTGGGAGTTGTAGTTTAACAAGATGTGGCGGACATATGTTCCCCAGCCCTGCTTAGAAGCAAATGCTTTAATGGAATGGTTTTTCTGTCTTTCTCCAACTCACATTATTGTTCAAAAGGCAAACAAAGCATCTATTATATGTCAATTCATTTCCTCAAGGATTGCAACCTATGAAAGAAAAGCTAAAGTTTGCCAACAGATATTTTTCTGTATGCATACATTGGTGCAAACATTTCCTTTCCTCTGGGAAAATGGTAAACCTCATTCCATCTGCAGCAAGATTCATCCATCAGTTTAACCTATAATCTGAACCAGCTTGCACAGCCCACTGTTATCTTGGATACAGTGAGTGCAAGTTATCCCTGGAAGCTCTTAAGCTTTTGTTTTATTACTGCAAACTCCAAATGCCAACTGGTTGATGGTTTGGAGTAAAAAAATTATGTTAGTATATAAATTTCACTAAAAACTTGCATTAGAAGTCGACCGGTCATAATGTGCTTGCGGCCATGTACACTGAGTTAACTAAAAACAAATAAACAAATGTTGTCAAACTAATTTAGGAATATAGGAATATAAGCGTAACAGCCTTAACCAGTTTAACATAAAGGCGGATATACAGTAAACTCTGAATTAGGGAATTAAAAATAAAGTATGTTTAATACCACTTTCTGTATTAACTTTTGCTCCGCACAAAGCACCACAATATTGAAGGCAGAACTGTAAATGAAGAAAAAAAAAACCAAGCCATAACCAGTTGTTAAATAAGCAACTGGAACCTCTGTGACAAAAAAGTTATATATTTATTTAGCTAATTTAATATGATCACATGGCAATGTGAAGAACATAAATGATTAAAAACCAAACAATAATAGAAAAATCAGATAACAATAATCCATACAACCAAGGTCCAGGATCAAGAAAAACACCCCAATTTGCCAAAGCTCCAACAATAAAGGAGATATTATAATACAGATACAATTTGAGGCCACAGGAATAGAATAATCAGTAATCTGAAATATGTATGTATATGTCTGTGTGTGCATGTGTATGACTTTGTGTGTTAATTCTGAAAAAATAATAATAAACTAAGTGTCTTTTCCAGCTAAGTGGATTACAAAGATAGCACCATCTAGTTTCTTTTCTAATTCAACTTAAGAGACATGCAGTTTGTATCTTAATTATCAAAATGTTCTGAAAAACTTTGGGATTCTACAAGAACTTTCTGAAAGACTATGGCTAATCTATGAGGCCAAAGCAGATGAACTGGGAAAATATATTTGGGAAATAGCCTTTGTATCATTGTTTTGTCCAGATGATTTTTGTTAAGTTATTGTAAACCACTTGTTAGGATGATGTGGAAGAACAGATAAAAGTGGTGGATTCAATAAAAGCAAATTAAATTATGGTAGAAATATAAGTGAGTTTCCCAGGAGAAAAATGTCCCAGCTACCCTGAGGAAAGTATTGTGTATACTGCAACAACAACAAAAAAGACTTCTCAAAACTGAAGGCAAAAGGAAAAATGTCCTTCTTCTTTCTTTTCTGCTTTCTTCTGAAGTAGCAGAAGATATAAAAGCTAGAAGCAAGAAGAAGGTAGATTCATTTGGGTACCATTTAAAAAATGTTCAACTGAATTAGATTCAGATAAATTAACCCAAGGAAGAACTGAGCTGTAGCTCACATCACCAGGAACTGGAACAGCTGGTAGCTTCAATAAGCATGCATAATATGGCTAATAATGGCATGAGATCCCTTGAACAGAAGTTGGTTGGTCATAACTACCTCATGGCACAAATATACTTTCAATGTATGGTTTGGTTGAATTTGAACCAACTGGATTATTTGTTTTCCAGGCAACTTTCTTTTTCTTGTGGCAAACTGTTGCTGCAATGGTATCATTGGGTCTCTACAAGGTAGTAAATAAACAGCTCTGTCTTTAAAGCTACAGATGGAAGAAACTGAATGTTGAGAAGGGAAAACTATATATGCTTAAATCTTTCTGCATTCAGAAAACTAGCATGCAGGAAGGCTAGAATCCTT